TCTTCATTGGTTTCAGCAAAACTTTTGACAGGGTTCCACACAGGCGGCTAATATCTGAACTGCGTCTAATGGGTCTGACTGGCAACTTAATCTGGTGGTTGGTTGACTTTCTCGCAGGTGGACGGCAGAGTGTTTGTACTAGTGACGCCAAATCGGAGCGAGAAACCGTCCACAGCGAGGTACCCCAGGGAAGCGTTCTGGGCCCTATTCTGTTCTTGATATGTGGGAACAGCTGCCTTGAGTGCCTGATCTGTGAGAAGGTAATGATCGCTGATGATCTGAAGATATGAGATTTGATAGAAAAACCGGAGGATGCGCTGAACTTGCAAACCGGTTGCAACAGTGGTATGATGAATAGTTTTTCAACCTCAATTTCAATAAATGCCAAGTCATCCGACTGCGGTCTAGTTAGAGAAAAGCTATGAGACTCGAATGTCAGCATTTCATTGAAGGTCACCAACTCGAGCTGATAAACGAGCTAAAGGACCTAGTTGTGTGGATGACGTCCATTCTCAAACCTTCCTCTCACTGATCCATGATGGCAAGTAAGGCTATGGGTATCCTGGGAGTCATCAGGAGATCCTTCCCTAACTTCTACGAAGAGCTGTTGGGTCGACTGTTAGGAAAATTAAACAAAACGATGTGTTCCAGTGATCGCATCTTCATCTTCCGAACTGCTACTTGGAACTCGCCTGTTCGCTTCTAACACCAAACGATGTTAGAATATTGCATTCAGGCGTGGCGCCCCTGGATAAAGTAAGGCTACATTGCTGATAGAAGCGAATAGGAGAGTTCCAGGTAGCAGTTCAGAAGGCGAAGATGCGATCACTGGAACAAGAAATTTATTAGCCTGACGTTTCAGATTCTCACTCAAATCCATATTCAGAGACATTCCCAAATAAATGTGCGAATGTTCACTGACTTCCAGTCATTTGCTGTCGGAATAAATTTTCCCGTCGCTTAAACCTCTCAAATTTCCTGTCCTCTTCTACACAAAATACCACACCGAGACACCGGGAGACCCAGAAATACGGAGCTTGACTTTTAACCCAGGTGTTAATTACCCGGCACGTCCATTGCCGATGGAGAGCGGAAAGATCTTCAACATGATGCAGCCGCGGAGAATGTGGTCTCACAAGCCTGGCAGAGAGGCGACCCCGAGCTACGCACCAGTAATGTCTCGAGCAGGAACTAGTTTGCAATGATGGTAGAGTTGCGCAGCGTCTTGCCTACTCTCTCCTCCTCTTCCACATGGATCCGGAGTCAAGACAGAATCAAGAAAACCAGACGGCCTAGACCCGCATCTACGCGTGCCACAACACCCCCTGGTCCGTAACGTACGCCGGCCAGTAACTGGGCCTGACACCACACCCCAGTGTTGGCATTTGTTATGGGTGTACATTCTGGATAATATTTGCCGGACTCTGATCTAGCCCCGATGTTAGTCCAGCGCATCTACTGCCTGGCCCGCTTCAGGGATCAATGACCGTGCAAAATGCCGACGCATCGGCCTGTCAACAAAAAGCCATCTTGCAAGTTTGGTCTAAGAACTCATCCTTCCAGCCATATCAATCCACTGCTTTTTTCATTAATAGTCCTTTCTCACTGGCAGTTCATGGAAGAAGTTTCGCCTTTTTTCTTCTTCCTTTTCTTGTAAAATGCGCAATAAGCCGAGTGTTCCCATTGCAGTTTTTCGGTTCCCGGTGGCGCCTTACTCGGCGCCACGTAAGTTCGCAGTAGCTTCAGTCGAGTTGATGCGCAAAGAGCTCGGAAGGGCAGACTGAGCTACGTGGGTAGAACTTCCGCACCGATGGCGATCGGGTGGGAAAATCTCCGCTCGTCCCCATCCTCCCCAGACTGTCCAATAGCGTTTTAGAAAACAGTAGCCCTTGAAGGGAAAGACGATACTGTGGATACTGAGCCGTGTTTATTCGGGTTTTTATTTCGAACGTAACAAATGATGTTATTTACGAACGGATCGAGGTATTTGTCCGAGTCCCAGGTATCGGTATGATTAGGGGGGAACAAGACTAACTGAGGACGCTCAAAATTGGACGTCTCATGGGGATGTTCGACTTTTGACCGAAAACTTTCTCAGTTTTTGCAGGCGAAACTAATGGGCAGACCAGGGAACCTACATGTGGCTCCCTAATGTTCAGTTTAGGGGGCAGAAATGGCCCTGTAGAAGCTAGAAAAGACTGCCTCCATCCAACAGGAGCCGATAGCTTGACGCTGTTATGTTGATGACATGTTTGTTTTCGCCAGGAAGAACAGGCTGCAGAATTTTCGCAACCTGTTCAACTCACTTCACAAGGAAGGAACAAAAAGCAGTAACTGTCCATCATCGGTGTGCCAACGGTAAACTAGAGGTGGCGGTTTATGGGAGAACAACGCACACACCACACAGCTTCTCGGATTCCAAAGCAACTGCCTGGTGGCAGATAAACGGAGCCACGTGGGGACACTCTTCGGTTAGATCCAAACTTACTGCAGTAACCCGGACCAATTTATGCGGAATGGCTATTCAGAGGGGGTTATGAGCCGATACCTACGTGTTTGCCTCAGAGAACCCCACTGGAAAAACCACCGATGGGATAACACGCTCTGGCATACACAAAGGACGTGTCAGAGGCGACCGGGCGCATTGGTGCGGAACTGGGTGTTGGAATTGTCCACTGACTCAAATCAGCCATGCGAAGGAAGGTCATACCAAAATTAAAGATCTAATAAATCTGAGGGAACTGTCAAACGTTGTATATCGCATCTCGTGCGTAAACTGTATTTATAAGTACACAGGTCAGACCGGACGAATGATCGGACCGAACTTTCGCGAACACGAGCTGACTGTGCGACGGAGTGAGGAATGATCGAGAGTGACTGCTCACAACTTCGAGGCGAGTCGGGCGTTTAACTTCGCAGCCGCCAAGATAATCGCCCACGCCGGAAACAAAACAGGCCGTGGATTGATTAAAGCCTGGGCCTCAGAAGAGAACTCAGTCAATCGACGTATCCTTCTGGCTCCGGCATACAGAGCCCTGCGCAGCCACATCTACGCTTGGGTCACTGATTCGTTGATTGTCAACCCCCCCTATAACTGCCTTCTTTAACTGTCGGGGAACTTAATGCGTGAACTTGGAGTAAATTCTCCAGAACAGACCTTTACAGGCACGGTCCAAAAGTTGATATGAAGATTTGAGCTGAAATCCATCAGCTACTGCGGTATCACCGCGTAATATTCACAAAACGCTAACAAGTAACCAGTATTATACAGTTATGCAATTATATGCCATACTGAAAACATAGGTTCCGAAGAATTTACTCCAAATTCGGGCATTAATTTCTTCGGAAATTAAAGAAGGCAAGGCAAAACTAGAGTTAATTAATTGCTAAATACATGGTCTAAAGACCACCAAAGCTCCCAAAGCTGACGGCAGAAAAGAAGAAGCTTTTCACCAGGGTCCCGTTTCAAGGGGATACGCCAAATGAACTTCTAAGAGGCCGCCTAACTCAAACAGCATCACGCACCTTTCCAGCAGTTGACGCCCGTGTACTATTCTTAGTCCCATCCTACACGGTGAGGGCAAATAAAAACTGCCAGCCTAGACCACTTCCACGTATATTTACTCCTTCACCTGCTCCTGTGGGGCAGAATATATTGATCGCACGAGTCAGAGTTATTTCAAACGAATAAGAGAATACTTTCCAGCACGGTTAGGAAAAGGCCAAATAAAGAACTCATCATCTCTATTCTTGCCCATATGATAGACGCAGATCACTGTGTAGATGCCGGACAGGCGTTCCGAGTGATTCAAAAGGCCCCGTCAAGCTATCCACAATCACTTGGACTACGTCTGTTAGCAACAGTGGAGGCGGCTGTAATCAGGCTATACTAACCAGTTCTATGCGCACAAAAGGACTTCTTACAGGCCCCACAGTTACCATGGGCCAAAGCCACCATCTCAGCCACCCGTTCCAATGCCCAGAATTCCCTTCACCCCTCACACTGACGATAATTCTGTTTTTCTCCCCACCCACTCAGTCCCTCCCTCCAAACGTCAGTTATAGAATAACTCCTGCTTGTCCGCATTTTCTTATTAATGATTTTCGATAGGCCTAAAGAGGATTTATCTAAAGCTCACGTATGCTCGCCAAAATGTTTTTTTGAATTCTTCAATGGGAATTTTCGCGACTCTAATACCGGATAAAACACGGGAAAGGCTAGGGGACCCAGTGATGAGCCGAACCCCTCGCAGCTGCTTCAGGCACCGGCACAAGATCGGTTGAGCACGCGTGTCTGGATTTTTAGCTAGTATTTCTGTGGTCAATATGATAAATAATTACAAAACCTACGCGAATTTCCTCCGGTGCTGGACCAGTCTTATCATTTAAACTACTATTTAAAAAGGTATTCGATGTTCAGCAAGTCGCCGAGTAATTTACCGAGGTTAAAATTTCACTGTAAGGGCAGCATTTTTAGACTATTGCGGCGGCGGAGGCGACGGTTATATCTTGGAGGAACAGAAGAAAACAGACCAAGTTTCGATCAGCGGGACAGGCGAGAGAGAGCAGAAGTCTTCATGGGGGAATAATTGCGTACAGACACCTGGGTCGTTACCTCGGACAACAGTGGCCACTGGAGAGGTCAGGATGTGTGCTGACGGCTGAGGCTCTGGTATCAGTAACTTTTATGGGTTTTTGGGGAGTAGGTTCAGCTGCCTTTTGTGTCCAAATGGGGAGTTATGCGGCAGCCGAGTGTGGCATCAAGCGCTGCGACCGTCTGAATTCCCGTCGTGCCCGGGAGAGAGAGAGAGAGCAAGTGTGATTGTGGTGTCAGCTGTTTTTTTAGGTTAGTCGAAGCTAGGTGGAGACTGCGTGTATCTGCTGTTGTGTGTGTGTGTGTGTGTGTTTGTTTATCCCTAAGACGAACCACGCGATAGATGCACTGGACCAACACAGGGGATGGATCGGAATCCGACAGGCGTTATTGGAACTGCGTACCCATGACAAATGCCAACATTGAGGTGTATTGGTAAGCAAGCAATTCACTGTCTATGCTCTCACCCTACTGTATAGCATACGGTGGACACGTCGACAGCGGTGGTAGAACTGTTATAAGCTACTACTGCGTGAATGGACTTTTTCCACGAATAGTGCCTGGTTGCATACGAATGTTACCATTCCGGGTGGCGGGATTCGATCCACGGTCCCCTTTCCCAGAATGAGCGGTTCCCTGATTTCAATATACTTATGCTCCACGCTGTAAACTGTAGGAGTGTTGGTCAGGATCAAAATTAGCACCCTGTGTTCTGTAATCCTTCAATCTGCCACTTGATGGCATTCTCGCTTTTCGCTATCTCATATCGAGAAGTCTTACCTTGTTTTCGTACTTATCCTTTATTCCTCTTTGTAGATGGAATATAATGCCTCTTTTTAAACGGAATGCCTAGTGCGACAGTTTCAGTTAAAATCCGTGAATTTACCGGGGACGCTGATACTTAGAAGCGAAACAAATTGTGCACAATTCTATGCGTCGCTGCCATTATAAGACTTCAAGTGGACGGGATAATTTGCTTTGCAGAGGATTAATGATTTTAGTCAAGAAATGACATCCATATTTTTCATTCGAGCTGTGTGGCATTTTGATATAATGACTACTCATGGACCCGAGTTCATCGACTACATTGCGGGGCATATCTTATCCCGTCGGATAAGGTATGGAAATACCTTATCCCGCTAGCCCTCGGGATGTAATGTAGTGCCTGCACAGGTAGTTTTGTAGCGACGAGTAATCACGCAGCCACATGCTCGCATAACTTAGGTTTCGCACGCGGAATGTTTGAGCTCTGAGTGTCTTTAAGTCTAACGATCTGCCATTGGGCCTCGGGTAAGTTATCTTGCCAGTTGAGATAGGGAATGTTCATATCATACCACACTCCTATCAATTTTTTTGACTGAGTCTGTGAATTTTGACTAAGTTACTCCAAGTTTTAGACTCATCTCCAAGGAGATTAAGAATATGAACTTTTAACACGAGAGTATCTATCACAAATCACACGGGAATGTTGGAGGCTAAATAATGAACCTAGTCCCTCGCAACTGGCAAAATATAGGTGAAATTCATTTTTAAAATTTTAAATTTATTTAAAATAAGAATATGATCCGGTTTTAAAAGTTTCGGGTTATTGTCTGTACGGTCAGTATGCAGACCATACAAAACGTATATTCAGTACTTAAGTAGGGTGGATGTTCACCGATCAGGTTGCGGAATATGCTTCTCACATTGTTTCTTGGGGGTCAGTGTAGAACCCTCTCAGGCAGTCCAATAGCTACTCTTGTTTCTGCATAAGGACACTTTTGCTGCGCTAGCTGCCTGCATTCAAGCGGTCATCGAAGGTCGGTGAAATTTCCTTTCGATTACAGTAAATTTGCTTAATCATGAAATGTTAATCGAAGTTCCAAAATGCGTTTTTGACTCGAAAATATAACTTAAGTAGGTTTTCGATATTAATTCACACGCAACATTATCCTGAGATATTTCAGTTACTTCGGGATGCTGACATTTAAATGGACTAATCTGCGGCCGACTGCAAAAACTGGAGACTGTAAAAAATGGCCCCTTAAATGACATTACTTTTTCCAATGATTTTCGACGTCCTTATAAATTCAAACATACTTCGTAGAAAACATGCATAAAATATTCATTCCTTTACTCATTTGGTAAAAAGTTAGGTCTTCTTCGAATTTTTTACTTTAGAAAAGGATATAATCCGGCTATAAAAAGTTAATAATTATGAGAATTTCGAAGACCGCGAAATGCCAGTTTATAAAATATCCTGTCTATAAATTGACTAACATTGCTGGCAAAGTTTGCAGCATGACTCAAATCCACTGTTTACTTTTAATTGTCATGGTTCATAAATGCGAATGTAACGGCAGGTCGGATCCAGCATAATTCGGGAGTTGAAAGTTTTTTGAAATCGAATTATACCCTTCCATCAAGTATAAAATTTTAAAAAGACGTAAGTTGCTTCCAAATGAGTAAACTAGTAAATTTCTTTGTCCATATTTTCTATAAAATATATTTGAATTTGTAAGGGCATCAAAATTGATGAGACAAATTTATGCTACTCGAGGAGCCATTTTTTACGGCAACCGCAAAGAAGTTCGTTTAAAAGCCAGCATCCCAATTTGACTGAAATATCTTAGTATTATGCTGTAAGCTAACTAATATAACAATCCCACTTAAGTACTTATTTCGAGCCGAAAACGCGTTTCAGAATTTTGGTCAACATTTTATGAGTTAGCACATCTACTTATTTAGTGGGTTATTGTTAAGTGTAGTTCACAGGCTGGCTTCAAAGTTAATATAGCTGCCGTGTGAGAATTGACCTCGAATTATATCTACTGCTAGTCAGTGTTGCAATCGCGCTTACTTTACAATAAGTGCTATATCTCGTGAAACATTAATTGGAATACTGAAATTGAAGTAGTACTACTGATCAGCCTTTGACATAAGTCCGAGGTACTTTGGTTATGTCAGTGTGACAGTCTCCCGCTATCAGAAAAAAACCCAACTTGCTAAAATGACTACGTAAGGCGTGTGACTTTGCCCTTGATCCCTGATGCCCTTATAAATCCCTATTAGAATCATGCAAAATTATTTTTTCTGGAACTCAGTTTATAGAAAATAACGTCTTCTACCAATTTTTTACTCAATGAAAGAGCAGATTAAGTTTCAAAATGTTTGCAGTTGGTAGGTTTTTAGGAGTGCAAAAGGATCACAGCAACTGCGAAAGTTTTATAAGTGGCTTTGTAACACAATCGGGGAACAAATAAATTTTTCTTGAATGGAAATTATTCAGCTCGTATGTTAAAGACCTCAAACTCACGGGCTTCGGCAGGTTGGGTTAAGAATTACTTGGGAATTGAAAAAAACTCCTTTGAAACTAAAGATATCCTCTATTCTGGCGTAGCTGCCGAAGAAAACGCAGTTTATTGGTGCATAAGATCAGACAAAGACATTTTTTGCACATTTTCTATTAAAAGTTTTTAAATATATAGGGTCAACAAAGGTCAGTTGAACAAATTCCTGGCAATTAAGTAGTCAATCCTAAGGACAACCCAAAAGACGCGAGGTTAAATGTCGGCATCTTGGCGCAACTGAAATATCTTGGAATCTCGTTGCAAGATAACCATTACTACAACCCCACCTAAGTAATCCTTTCCGACGGAATTCACATCTGAGAATCTCAACTAACAGTTCATCAATTTCGTCAGTTATTGTACGCTGTACATCTACAGTTGCACAGAAAAATATCGACTACTGTTTCGTGGGTTTCTGCGCACTAGGTTTTTCGAGCTTGTCGACAGAGATCTCGGATTTTTCACAGTCGGCACTAGTACTACCTGCAAACCTGCTTATTTGTCAGGCCAGAGACGATGCCGCGAAGATGACGGAGCCGAACAGTTGTTCGGTACACTGTCAAACATCGTATGCTGCAGTTAACTCTGCCGAGTTCATGACGCAAGCTTTTGTCCTGTAGGTCGGCAGGCAGGATTTATCGTCTTTTTTAGTGCGCCGTACGCAAAGCGCGTTGGCCCGTCAGCTAATTTTAGGAATCAAACTGTGCTTAGATGACATGTCGCAGCTTAATGAGAGGTAGAGGGCTGCGTAGATCCTTAAGGGAGCGTGTTGGGAACAGGCTTACTGCAATATCCTAAGGCACAGCGGGAGCTGGTAGGAGGACACTCGACAAGCGCCATTATCTCCTAGGGTGTAAGCTTTATGAGTGACAATCACACCTCTTCCTGCCCTGCTACATCCGCCGGCGCATGCATGTCAAAAACCAAAGCAAATAACATTGTTATTGCTTCCTTTTTTTAACCTGCTAATTCCATCTGTTATCCATCTGCTTCCTCCTCCTCCTCTGTTGGGAGTGCCTACAATCCCAAAAACAAGAGCCAGCCAACCAAGGGAAGCCACGTGTTTTCTCTCAACTGCGCTGTCATCTTAATCATGGCGCCTCTCGACTGGATTTTCCTATCGGACCTGATCGATCTGCATATTCGAATTATCGACCAGCTCGTGTGGAATGTTCTTCCCGAAGGGCATTAGGCCGAATGCCGGCGAAGCACAGTAGGGCGTTATAAATATGCGTTACTTCCAGTTAATTTGACTTGTAATTTCCTAATACACATTTTCGTGGCCGGTCGCGTTCTCATTCTCTGCCGCGTTGGTATTGGGGTACAAGGGTCGAGTGAGTATACGCTCTACGGGATTTCAAGTACCAGGCGGGTCATTACATCATCATCATCATCATCATCATCATCATCATCATCATCATCATCATCATCATCATCATCATCATCATCATCATCATCATCATCATCATCATCATCATCATCATCATCATCATCATCATCATCATCATCATCATCAACAACAACAACAACAACAACAACGACACAGTTTCATTCATCCTCTCATTCATATTTTTCTCAAATGATCCACCTGTAGTGGTGCTCTACCGCCTTTGTATACAGCCCCTTTTTCCTCCTTTTTAGTATCCTTCGCCAAACGTTTATGTTTTTACTGTTTGACGTTTCCCCACCTTCTCTCTTGGCCTTCATCCCATTTGCTTCTCAGCCGTTTTCTTACATTTGACATTCACCCCGTGCTTGTGTTCATCTCTACCTTCCTCACTTTCCTCTCATCTTCCCGTCGCTTCTAAGCTCGTAGTTGTTTTTGCCATTCTTTCTTCGCCACCTCACCCTCCTTTTCCTTGTTCTTCGACCTTCATTTGTTTCTCTTTCTTCCTCTTGCTGCTTTTATCTCGGTTTGATTTCTGCTGCCTTCTCCTTTTTCTTTTTTCTCCCGATTTTTTGCTTTCTTTTTAATTTTCATAGTTACTTTCTGTTTACTCTTCCCCCTTTAACTTCTCCACTTTTTTTTGAAATGCATCTGAAGAATCAATCGGAAAGCTGTCTGAGTTATCATCAAAGTACCAGGATGCCTGTGGTTTTCCGGCTGTTTCACAGTAGCCTTCGGCTGCCATCCATGTGCGCAGTAAAAATGAAATATTACTTAAGTTTAATCATGCAATAGACTATTTTATTTAGCTTTTGCCATCTATGCACGCAACCATATTGTCGGTTTACATCCTCACTGACCGGAGTGGTCATCACGCTCGACCCAATAGCCAGTCACCGACCGCCAGCCCCCTTTTTAACTGATCCTCAATCCCCACGCCTGGTCAGGCTCGATGCTGTTCATTGCGCCCGACGTGCTGCCATTATACGGCGGTGTAGAGTGGATCTGACAAAAACTTTGTGTTTGTCCTTTCAAGGTTTGTTTACCGACATCGCCTGATACGGGTTGTGCATTGAGGTAGGGACCGGCACTGGTGGGTGTCAAATCGTGGGTACCAGGGTCTACGGGCATTCGCGCATTCCAGCGACCAGTATCGGTAATTGGTCCGCCGTGCAAACTATTCGCCTTCCAAAATGGACTGCAGTTGTGGACGCCGTAACAAGAATTCTGGTAAAATGCTCAGACATACTAGGTCGTCGAGACAGTTTATGTAGTGTTTAACTCGGACGCACGAAATGTTTTGATGTGCAAAAGTAGCCAGCCGGATTTTTTCTCCAAAATGACAGGCAGGTATTTCCGAGGCTTTTTGCAAAAGTGGACCACGTGAAATGTGATTTTTGACCCCTGGAAATCCCTCAAGTTAAAAATAGTGTCATGTACGACGAATGCAGTTGGCAATACGTCGGTCACTGTTGGCGACAATGCCGCAAAAAGAACAGCGCAAAAGTGGTCTGCCAAGTTCGGTCGGGAGACATGTGAATCTATGATATACCTCGTCCAGGTTAACGTACAATTTCTATATTAGATCGCAGACGGTGCTGTTCAAGGCTTCTCTTAGAAAGGCTTCGAACTGAAAGTTGGCGGAAAAATGCTCGTTTTGGAAAATGACACGTGGAGTCACCTGTATACGATAGAAAAATTAAGTAAAGCTTGCCACATATGGCTACCTATCAATAGATGATGACAGGTTTAAAAGTGTATTGTGAGGTCCTAATACAAAAAATCCCCTCTGGAAACTGAAGTTTCCCGAGAAAAAAGCTGTCCGTAAAGATGTATTCTTAGAAATACCAAACAGTAATTAAATGATTTTTCAAGTAGAAACGCCAACACGAGTGGAGTATTGTTACGAACAAATGATTTGGGAATAATAATACACATTCTGGGTAAACATATTTCACTCCTGTTAAGTTTTTTTCTCTAAAATAAACTATTTGAAAACTACAGACAATTTCACTTAGACTCTTACAAGTCCAACGCATCAACGTTCAAATAAAACGAACACACTCTCAAGGCCACCGGAGTACAACTTGTTACAATCACCATAGCAGTCTTGAAAAAGGAAACACGATCGCTGGGACAAGAGGTTTATTAGCGTGAAGTTTCGGATTCCTGCTGGGACCCATCATCAGAGATAAAAACATATACGGCGGTTCATGCACAAGGGGCTGCAGTATTTATAGGATGCAGTAGCCATACTACCGCAAACCTATGAATATTCATGGCTCCCTCCACCTCTTCATCAGTGATCGTTTCACGTGGTGTGATGGCGACATTCGCGTCGTTAATTTCTGCAATTACACCACGTGCGTTGGATGTTGGTGTGATGATTGTTCGGCCATCTGACGCACCGACCCTGGTGTTGGGAAAAATGTTCACCTGTGCGCTCCCCGCGTGGCCAGTTACTTCGCGTAGGCGAAGTCTCAGCACCGAGTATAGAATGGGAAGATCATTGCACTTATTAATAGACTGGAGGTCAGCAAACCACGACTCAAGTAGCTCCCGGCTTACGCGGTTGTCACCTCTAGCGAGAATTTCGGCCTCGTCAAATTTGAATGTGTGGCCGAATCTCGTCGAATGATTCGCAACTTGAGAGCTAGCGTTATTTCTTCGCAGCACTGCAGCGTGTTCGGTCATTCGCGCTCGGAGTTGTCTTCCGGTTTCTCCGACGTAGTTGCTTTGTCCGCAACTGCACCAGATCTGGTAAACGACTCCAGACGCTTCTTACCGTGGCAGTGGGCCTTTTGGTTTCATCAACTGACGCCTGATGGTTGCCTTTCTTCGCATCTTCGCTTCTATTGGCCATCACAATAGCAGCGAATGCCGCCACAGAGTAGCTTACTGGAACCACAGGGTAAACATGTAAACGCCTGAGACTAGTCTTGCTAGTGCCTTATTTACGACTAAGAAAATTCGGAAATCTTTCAACAAAGTTGTTCAGTTGCCATAGAAGACGTCTTTTCAACGTGTTCAGACACGTTCACAACTGCCTGTAACGCGAACACCCACCGCCAGGCTACAGTAGAACTCTTCCGCTTTCACGCCGGAAGTCAAATGAAGACCTCGATGAGAATTTTGATGTATTTCTGGGAGATAGTAATCGATAAAAAATCCAGGGAAGGTAGTCAGAAGGCCTCTGGCATACAGACGTCCAAAAACACTGCACAGGTCAGCTTTTTTCGGGGCCATGCATCGGTCTTCTCTGAGTTCTGAAAATGACATTCTTCTAATTTATTTTACACTTTTAATGGCAATGGTCTTTAATACTGCACGACCATTGAAGTTCTGATGGTCTGCAACTGTCGCTGAAGCTACACGTTCCCCACTTTCAGAGTCAGAAGTGTTTTTTTGAGAGCTGTTGTGCGTTTTAAAAAACCTATCCAAAAGGTGCAACATACGGCCAACTAAAGTCAGCAAGTATGATGCGCTGATGCAGTCGACTTCCAGTCAACCGCCACCATCGTTTTTGTAGTTTTCGGGATGAAAGCAAGCTGTGTAAAAATGAATCAATATGAACATCAACAAGTTCTGGTATAACAACGGAAAGCGCTCACTTTCCTACTAAAAAAACCTCAGACGTCATCGTCTGTCACTCGCAAACCCAGCATGCTAAAAACCGTGGTGCGATATCTGTCGGCCGACTGGGTAACTCGGTCCACTGGATGTGTGTATGTGGTAAGGTGTAAGAGTGTCCAGCCGTGGGTCCACATGACGGTCGTAGTAAGTCGCTAACTTGCTTGCAGCGTGAATTAACCGGCACCTAACTCTCACGTCTGGCTCCCCGAAACTAGGCTCTGCCTACCGACTGCATTTCGGTAACCGCCTTAAACGGTGAGCTGAACCTGGTGAGGGTATCTCTGCGTGCACCTCCCCATACGGTAACTCGGCTCCTCCTCCTCCTCCTCCTCCACCACCGCCTCAACGTCTGTCACTGTGGCGTCTGCCATGTCCATCAAAACTACACACAAGCCTGACACACCGTCAAACGCCAACACCGGCACCAGCGCCGACACCAGTGGTGAGGACCTGGTCTATACCTGTCCTCACTGCGATCGCACCTTCACTTCACAAATCGACCTGAGTGGCCATTTGCGAATCCACCGCACAGGGACCGACAAGCCAGTGCCTGGAGCACAAACCTGCATCCGCCTTCACTGTCCACGCTACCCTCGCACATTCATGTACCGCATGGGCCTATTCGGCCACATGCGTATTCAGGAGAGCCGAATTGACCGCAACATTGACACCCCTAGCACATCCAGCACACCCTTCGATGCCTAGCGCCGCCAACGCTCCACCGCCCAGCGCGCCCACCGCCACCAGCTCCATCGACAGTTCGACCGTCGGTTTCGACGATGTCCACCGTGTGCCCCACAGCTGCAGCAGCGGTGGGAGCAGGGACGGTGACTTGCGCAGGGGTTTATAGTGTGGGTAGACTTGCGCTGCATCCACCTACACTCTCTCCTCCTCCCCCGCCTGCGCCCGGTGTCAAGACAGAGTCAAGAAGACCGGAGGCGAGGGAGGCCGCAGGTGGATGGCTCGGACGGATCCTCACCTTGGCGTTCCACCACACCCCCTGTTCCACACAACAATAACCAGGATTTCAACCAACACAACAGAGA